TTTTTTTTTTTTTTTGAGACAAAGTTTGGCTCTGTCGCCCAGGCTGGAGTGCAGTGGCACGATCTCGGCTCATTGCAAGCTCCGCCGCCTGGGTTCACGTCATTCTCCTGCCTCAGCCTCCCAAGTAGCTGGGACTACAGGTGCCTACCACCACGACTGGCTAATTTTTTTGTATTTTTAGTAGACGGGGTTTCACCGTGTTAGCCAGGATGGTCTCGATCTCCTGACCTTGTGATCTGCCCACCTCAGCCTCCCAAAGCGCTGGGATTACAGGTGTGAGCCACCACGCCCGGCTCATAGCCCCTTTTGCAAATACTGACGCAGTTGCACCTGCCTCAGACTTCTCAGATCCCCTTAAGATGCCTCAATCTTCACACCCCCAACTCCTTAGCAGCTAAGGAATGTGCCCCTCACAGGGCTGAGCTACCCACAGCCACTTCTCCCTCATGTGACCCTTACCTACAGTCTCTGGGGACCCCCAGTGTTGAGCCTTTGTCTCTTTGCCTTTGTCCTTACCCTAGAACCTCCTGTACCATGTGGTCGGCTGGACCGACTGGAACCTCGCCCTGAACCCTGAAGGAGGACCCAACTGGGTGCGTAATTTTGTCGACAGTCCCGTCATTGTAGACATCACCAAGGACACGTTTTACAAACAGCCCATGTTCTACCACCTTGGTCACTTCAGGTGAGTGGAGGGCGGGCACCCCCATTCCATATCAGGCTTATCATCTCCTACGTCAGATGGCTTACATCACTCTACACCATGAGGGAGCAGGAAGGTGTTTAGGGTGGAACCTCGGGAGAGGCACACCCATCCCCTTTTGTACCATGGAGGCAGGAAGTGACTAGGTAGTAACAGACAACCCCAGTGCCTGAGGCTGGACTGCGATGTAGAAAAGCAGGGTCAGTGCCCAGCAGCATGGCTCCAGGTCTAGAGACCCAGGGCAGAGCTTCTGCAGGAGTTATGGGGTGGGTATGTGGGTGGGTGACTTCTTAGATGAAGGTTTCATGGGCGGTACCCCGAGGGACTCTGACCATCTGTTCCCACATTCAGCAAGTTCATTCCTGAGGGCTCCCAGAGAGTGGGGCTGGTTGCCAGTCAGAAGAACGACCTGGACACAGTGGCACTGATGCATCCCGATGGCTCTACCGTTGTGGTCGTGCTAAACCGGTGAGGGCAACAGTAGGGTCTGGGAAGTGGGCTGAAGACAGGGTCGGGGGCCTTGGCAGGATCACACTCGTAGCTTCTCCTCCCCACTCCCTAGCTCCTCTAAGGATGTGCCTCTTACCATCAAGGATCCTGCCGTGGGCTTCCTGGAGACGATCTCACCTGGCTACTCCATTCACACCTACCTGTGGCGTCGGCAGTGATGGAGTGGATACTCAAGCTCAGCCTGGGCATTAAAAGGACAGAGTCAGCTCACACGCTGTCTGTGGCTAAAGAGGGCACAGCAGGGCCAGGGTGAGCTTACAGC